GKYYTYAGTGTRATTTACGTCATTTMTGCCGTTGYCSTCGATTRCTAATCAAGTTCTTTTTGCTTGCAGAACGTCCTGTCATYAATATGCCATTGTTCCAAACAATACGTGTAMAATTTAACTCCAACCTGTCATTCAGCTGTCAATCAACTGGTATACCACGCCCACATATTGACTGGTTAATCAACAAACAAACCGTTTCCTCGCAACAGACCGTCTGGAAGGCCCTGTATGTTACAAATATAACGGTTAACGTCAAGAATACAATGGAACTACAATGTTCTTCAMRRAATCGAGGAGGATTGGCTCTTGCCACCGTGCGACTTGTTATAGAAGGTAGATACCCGTATGTTTCCATGAAAAACTAACATCATCTTAGTAAATACTTTATTATCAGATGCTGATATAGCAAGCGTCAAGGCAGCTATTCGTCTCACTCATGTCAAGTACATTGACTCTCTGAARGACACATCGTCTGACGAGTACCAATCCCTCGCAACAAGAGTCATCCGAGCTGTAAGTAGGTTAGGGCTACAACAACCAGCTTTAGACTACCCCCACCCCCTCTCTACCCATCTATCTACATTTTCCCATTTCATGTACGTGTCTTGCTTTGTCCAGTGTTTAAGAAATCTTGATTTCAGTATCAGATAACATATTCAAGTCGGGTCAGCATGGACCAAACTTTCAGGTTGTTAAGCTAATTTCCTGCGTTTCTTTGTTGAGGTATCGAGTGTCTACTTGAACAACCCAGGCTACAGAAGAACCAGTATTGTACAATTCAGGTAATTCTTGCAGTTATTTTCAAAGTAGGTGTTTTTTATCGCGGATTTTTTGGCACCAATATATGACATATCATACTCAAAGTAGTTATATGAGTAATAGAATGAAGTCACTTGAATAAAATGAATAAAAATATAAATCATGCATGAATCTGATTTCAGACGAGGGTCCGTCATATGTGAGTTCATCCTACAGCTCAGTGCTCAAAATAAAGATCACCTGACGGAATTACTACGACAAACCGTTAGAAAGGGCTCCATCGCTGAGTTTAAAGTCGATAAAAAGTACTTACTTACAGAAAAAATAACTAAAGGTATTAGAAATGTGTACAAGTCCATTTTTGGTAGTTAGAGTTAACGTTTGTCCTTATATGGTAATGACTGACCTTATTTGGTAGTAACTTTTAACTCATTTTATATAGTTTGTCCATATGACTTCTTTAATGTCTCGTGGCCTGTAACTTTACCCTCCAGTACTCATGTTCAGCGGTGTCCTAACGATGGACTTGGTAAGTTGTCTTTTACAACAAGTTGAAACCAGAAGTCTGTTGATGCTTATCTGATTACTTAAACCTGAAACCACTACTAATGAAATCCAACTCGACAAAACAAAAAATTCTCTCGTTTTTACCTGCACGAGAAAACACGCTAATCACGTTGATTTGCAGGAACAGCAAGGAGGAAATGCAGTGATGAAGGAAAATGGGAAGTACCTGACTACAATGACTGCGCATCTAAAAATATCATGGAGCTGCAAACACAGGTTAGGTCTCTCAAGATTGATTCTACATTTATAGCGACGAAAAAAAGATCACTGCATTAATATACCCATTATACCGACTTACAGCGCGCAGAAACAAGCTCAGGTGATGCATAGAAACCTCCGGTCTAAACACTGGAAACCCCGCATCGTAGTGAATTGGATTTTTTTGCTTCTCTCAGTGCAAAAAATGTTGAAGCGGAGACGGTGACTACTGACAAACAGAGCGGCGTCCTCGATCACTAATAATGCATTTTTCTATGTCTTCTTTCAAGATGGCTTCAGTTTTAAACAAGACGATACCATCACCTGATCAAGTCCAGGAAATCCTTACCAATCTTGCCAAGGAATCATCRAGACCACAGGTCAAGGGTGACATCAAAATATCGACTCTGATATTGTCTGAAGTCGTTGAGTACAACGAAAAACTATCGAATGATGTGGAGAAAAGTACTAGCAATATCGAGGTAGTCTACAGACAAAAAACGATGACAATGATGATGATATAATATCAATGCATAATTCAATGACAGTATAACATTTTACGGACATATGCAACCACGAGTTCTATTTCTTATATCATTGTCCATTTTTGTTTTGTTTTTTTTTTGTAGAACTTCTTGTTGACAGCAAGTAACCTGCTTGATGATCAGAATAATGTGCAAATGAAACTACTTCAGCAGGTAAGACAGACAMTCATAGGAGTAGACACAAGGACAGCTAGACAGACAGGCAAACRGCTAGAAGGTGTGCATAAGATGTCAAACAGTATGTCAAGAGATTTCGTGTTTTTTTTTTCAGTCTGATAACACCACTACATTGCTAATGTCGGCATTAGATGGCTTTAGCTTACAAGCTGCGGGAAGTCTGGGGACAAGTCAAGTGCGCACAAAACAATTTGTAGCSAGAAATCTTGGTGAGCAGCGGTTCTCTTCATATTCTCTTATCTCGTAACGTCTTGTTCGACTGACCCAGCCACCGTATACTCTGCAAACCTCATAATATTAATCGAAGTGAAATATACATATATTACGAAACTACCCTGATAAAAAATGTGTTTCCATTCCTCTTGTTTCAACGTTTTACTCACATTACATCCTTTCATAGTTATGGGTATCGCTGTGTTGTCAAGTGTCACAGATGATGACGTCACATTCCCTGATTATAATGACAGTCGTATGACGTCATTACCCGAGTGGCAATCAGTGGACAGAAGTTACATTGTTTTACCAAATTCTGCTTTCAACGCGTCTCGAGGTAACGGCCGGCTGATTGACACTTTGTCTTCATTGTCGTCATTGTCGTTGTAACTTTGTTGGCACACTTTGCTCTGTCATTGTCGTTATTGTTGTGAGTTTATTTTCCAAGTTGTTGTGGTGATGGTGGTGCAGTTATTTTTGTCAGTTATTGTTGCTGGCAGTTGTCGTTGTTGTTTTGTTGTGTGATGCTTTTCGTTGTTGTTGCAGTGGTTGTCGTTAAAGCCACTTTTAGTTTTAGTTTTGCTGTTCTCATGCTGTTGCCGTTGTTTTGAATGATGATCTCAACTTAGTTGCACGAATGTGTTATGTGTCGATAATATTGACAATCCTTGTTGGTTTGTAGTTAGCAGAGTTTCAAGTTTGCTCTACAGAACGTTGTCATTATTCCTGAATATTACCAGGTACGTGGGCACATAACCACTGAATAATCCTCTATAAAGAAAGAGCAAAATACATCACCCTTCCTGTTAACMKYAAATACCATTCAGCCTTCATGAAKAAAACCATGRATCTCTCTATGTTAATTTTGTTTGTTTGTGTGTTGTACAGTGCATATGATGCCATTGGTAGCGAGKYTTTTTTGGGATCAAGAATCATCGCTGCTTCTATTAAGCCCACTGTGTCGCTTGTGGATCCTGTGGTRACTATTTACAACAATGTTCAGGTATTYRTTTGCCTTTTTCTATCACATTATTTAATGTGCACGTTCCTAGAWTAACCGTGCGTTTCCTTTCTGCTATTGACRAAAGGTCGTTTATCTATGATTTGTGGAATTTTTTTTTTTCCATTGTAGAAGTCCAGGCATCCACCTTYGTGTGTGTTTTGGGATTTTCAATTGTAAGTATACGACTCAYAATAAATATCACCMARTYCCTCGCATCAACAAACCTTTTATTTGTTAGGAATTCCAATGGTGGTGGTTGGTCACGTGATGGATGCCGTATGACGTCACAAGATGGTGGTAGAGTCACGTGTGAATGTGATCACATGACGAACTTTGCTGTGCTTGTGAGTTCATATCAACTTAAGGTAAATMGTCTTTTTTGACTTCCTAGTAGTACTCAGTCTTGGTATTTTATCCATTTATATTCAGATATATTTAGAGGCCAGAATATGGAGGCCTGTTGTTTTGTTATTTTATATCTGTACAGGAACACGATCTTCCCCTGCGTATTATAACGTTCATTGGTTGTGGTTTGTCTCTTCTTGGTCTTGTGGTAACACTTCTAGTACATGTAGTGCTTTGGAGGTAAGTGAAGGGTAATTTAGCAATCGATATTCTTATTTATGTAGAGAATTTTTCAGTTTTTTTTTTTTTTAATGTTGTTGCGGGAGATTTTAATGTTATTTTACGAAAACACAGGAGACTGAAGTCCAATAAAACCACAATCCATGTAAACCTGTGTGTTGCTCTTCTCGTTGCCAATGTAGTGTTGCTTGCTGGTTTGGACAAGACGTCAGATAAAGTAAGTAATGACGTCATATATATCACGCATGACGTCACAATGGCAGAGTTATAAACCGTATTTAGGCATCGTCTTTGATAGTTATGCACATTTTATGACAGCTTTTTTTTATTGCAGATTGTCTGCACCGCGATTGCAGCCATTTTGCATTATTTCTTCTTGTCCGCGGTGGCATGGATGCTAGTGGAAGGAATTCAGATTTATGTCGCTATAGTGATGGTGTTTGAAACAGATCGAAAGGGAAAATACTTCTTTCTGATTGGCTGGGGTAAGAACAGATCATTTCTAGTGATGTAGTTCGTCTGTCTGTCTCGTGCATGCTTATTTGTTGATATTCATCGTGTAAGCAAGTGTTTATCTTTTTTCCAGGCTTGCCTGTTTTGATTGTTGGCATAGCAATGGCTGTGACGCAAATGAAKGGATATGGCACCCAAACAGCGTGAGTAGTAGAAAAATATCATGATTAACGATATAATATTTGCTCTATGAGTATGTTTATAAGGACTTGGCGTATTAAAAGTTTTAAGTTACAAACGTTTTCGACTAATCAGTCATCTTCAGGTAAGGTGATTAACATTTCTCGTGTTTTTGTCAAGCGCTTAGTTGAGATAGATTAAGCTCAGAGGTTTAATCGTGCGACGTGTCTCGGTATAGTTCTGCTGTAGAAGTGAATACTAAAATCAAAATCAGCTCACTGAGGAGCTTCTGTTTTTAGATGTTGGCTGTCCGCTGACCAAGGTTTACTATATGCCTTCATTGGACCAGTCGTGGTAGTTGTACTGGTAATGATATACGTTTTTACGCATGYGTGGTCTTAGTCTCAAATGTCTCTTTTTGTTGAAACTTAAAAATAAATATATATAAGACCATTGTAAGAGATAAYATATATCCATTTCTAGGTCAATATCGTTATTTTTGTTCTGGTTGTTCGAGCTATGATGACCACACAGAGAATGGTGACAGCGGACGAGAAACAGAAAGCCAGGTAATTGTTGTCATATACAAAAAAAATCAGATATGTATACTCAAATATTTATGTCATGGTTGTTGTTGTAGGTTGGCTGCAAAATGCTGTGCAGTGCTGCTGCCCTTGCTCGGTTTAACATGGAGTTTTGGTGTCCTAGCTATTGACCAAAATGTCGTCATATTTTTATATCTTTTTGCAATCTTCAACTCGTTACAGGTATGGGAAATAGGGAGTCATGCATTCTATCAGTCAGTCAGACAGTTTGTCATTCAGTCAGTGAGTCAGACAGTCAGTYAATGAGTGAAATGTATGTCGGTCTTCCTGTGTCATACGTGAATTACGTGAGTAAATGATATACCTTGAACTATAACCAAGACACAAAAGATGGGTCGACATAAGCTTTCTTTACCTCGTAATCTTGCTGTCATCAGGCTCTTCATTCTTGTAATATCGTGAATTATTGGTAACATGAGTCAAACCAATCAAAGTTCATTTTAACAAATAAACACCAAAGAGCAAACTATAAAGGCGGGAAAGAAATTGGATTAAAAAAGRTAAATAAAAATGAAGGAAAAGTGAACACCAAAAGACGTTTCGTATTTGTTCATTTTATTCATATATGATTTCACTATTTCATGCAGTCAGTTCTAGTGAATACGTGAGTTATATAAGACTGTGTACGACGCAAACAAGTTGACTTCAAGTGCGATTTCTAACTCCGACAGGCAGTTGTCTGGTGGTKCCCTGGCAACAGTCATTGAGCGGAGAGTATTTGAAGTATTGTTTTTCTGGCAGTCAGCTTGCGGTCATAATTAGAAGTTTTTTCGTTCTTTTGCCACATCAAGCGCTGTCTTGTTGTGCGGTGATCATTAACTGTCCAGTGTTCAAATCTTGTTCATCATGTCTYGGTGATTCGCGCCTCTGCTTTAAGCAGATTATCTTTTTAATGATAGCATTAAAGTCTTTTTTCGCGAAAGCGTAAATCGGGGCGTTAATCAGGGATCCCAATGTTAATGTAAACCATGAAACAATCATCAATTCATAAGGGATTAAGTCTGATCTTCCTACGTTACTCGCTATAGTCATATATACAATCGGCATCCAACTAACAAGGAAAATAATAGCGATAATAACGAAAATTCTTGCTACATAAGCTTCGGCTGTCATCCTCTTCCCTTCTTTCTTGGCTTCGGTATTGTCTTCGTTTTGTCTTGCAAGGTTTTTAACATGTTGTGAAACACGCTGAAATATTYTGAAGTACGCYARTAAAATCAACATATATGGAACYACGACTCCAAGRACRACCATACAATAGATGTACACYTCATGGCTSCCATGTTTGAWATCAGACGAGTAGAATAACGGAATCAGAGATATCATAATTGGTATGATCCAAGATGCTATCAATAGCTTATAAAAATGTTTCTCCATGAAAGGTTGATACTTTAAAGGGTACAACACCACCAGATATCGATCTAAAGTGACTCCCATCAATGTAGTAATGTTGGCTAGTAGYACAACTGCTAGTATGTAGCTGTTWACCACAGACGAAGGGTTTAGTAYATGCAAAGGGATGATTAAAGCACCGTACAAGAAATCTGCAACAGCTAATGATGCGATRAAGCCATTAGTGAAGCTCCGCAGACATTTATACCGCAAAACAAGCAAGCAAACAACAGCGTTTTCCAAGGCAATTAGTACACCCARAAAAACAAGCAACACTGAAGTGGCAAGGTTCATATTTGCAKCTCTGGCATTGATTTACACCAAGAACGCGAGGATGTAGAAAGTAAGATGATCTGCTACTAGAGAAGTGATCATTTKATGATTAATTACGTGCTCTTTGATTGGTTAAGAACGCATGACCGTATGTTAATGGTTTCTAAATCCATCAGCATAGCCTTGTTGACAGGTCATTGATCGCTATCAAACACGAGCACGAAATGTTATATATAACCTCGTCTTCGRAGCAACAACGTCACTGATCGCTTACAAAACAGTCTGACTGGAAAGGATTCTGTATTTGGTAGTCTGAAGGGTTCRTGAGGTACATTGKATTAGGATTAGGAGGCGACATCAAATGCTTCAAAAAACTAAAAACATTTGTTTTTTGCTYACTTTAAGTGTTGAGAAAACATTTTGTTGTTTGTACAGTGTAAGAAGGCGGCTAGAGTAAAAGGRTCTCATTTCAATGGCCTGATATGGTGTGTTGACTTGACCAATTATGTTTCTAAAGGAAAAGAAGCTAGCCGACTAATTTATTTCTGGCTTTTTGACACACATAGACTTTTCTCCTCCAGCCATTCCTTTTTCTCTCTTTCTCTCTACTTTCTTTTTCATTTGTCTATTTCTTTGTTTTTCATTTCATTGCATTTTGTTTTGTTATTATGCAACGTTTTTTGCAAATTTTCTTTCATTTTCCCATCTATTTTTTCAATTCAATTTCATGTCTTTCCGGGCTCTTTCTGTCTTCATTCGTTTAAATTAGAGACTGTTTTCTTTAATCGTAATTTATGTGCGAGATGAAGAAACCTGTTTGGATGTCTTGAATGTTAGCAAGTTATCTAGATGATAGAGATGTACATAGCAACAGCAGGGACGATTCAAAACACTTCAAAAGTCAACTTGTTATGAATCAATATCGATTTGATCGCCCCATGTAAGAGAATCCAGAGAACTAGAGGATTCCGGATTCGAAGCGCTGGATTCCGGATTCCGAAACACTGGATTCCGGATTCCAAGCTTTGGTATTCCGGATTCCAAAGAATTTTTGTTTTGGATTCCGGATGATAAATGGTGTGATTTTCAAGGTTTTTTTCCCTGAAAATTTTATATTCAGCGTCAGTAGCCTGCGCAGGGCGTCRGCAACGCAAGCTAGCGCGACGCTAATTTGCATTGTCTCCAATATTTGTCGCAYGCTGACAAACAAACTACGTATATGAAGTACAGTAAAGTACAGGATACTCAGTTGGATGCGCGTTTCCATCTCTAGAGAGCTAGATTTTCACYGATAAAAGCAATCTTCCTAACTATCCGGATTCTGGATTCCAGGGTAGGGATTCCGGATTCCGAACCTGCTTTTTTACTGGATTCCGGATTCCACATTCTCTTACACGGGGCGAATTTGACCCCAGTATGTACTAATACAAGGAACTATCATGATGTCTAATTTGATTGATTTTGTTATTGCAGGGTTTCTTCATATTTGTCTTCCATTGTTTATTGGATCAGCAGGTACAGTCACGTGACCATCCTGTATTGACTATATATGGGTCATATATGGTATTGTGTTAATAAACTGACGAGTTTTTTATCCATGTTCCCTCACAGGTACGTTCAGCTGTAAGTGCGTGGCTAATTCTGAGAGAAAGTTCAGAGTCTGGTTTAAAACTTAAGGTCATTTCTTCTTCATCCGATCACAGTAAACATAGAGAACACATTAATAGGGTAAGARAAATAGTCACTTGCGTTGCATGCTGGGATGCTGTCTTCATCTTAACCCTGCAGATATTGCTCTGCATGAGTTTCATCACATTTTGTTTGCGGTTCACTTCCAACTTGTGTTGTAAAAAAATAAATAAAGAGTATTTCAAGTTACCGAGCGAAAAATAAAAAAGGCGAGGGCGAAGTACAATTGTGAAGTAGCGGTTCACTTCAAAGATGATAGTAATACAAAGCACCTTTTATTTCTTTTTGGTCTCAAGAGAAATAAAACAATACAGTTATCCACACGAGGGGCTATTTTTTCAAATACTTAAAAGACCTCTTTTGATGTTAACCAGGACTCTTCTTTGCTTATAGATTACTACAGATTCATTAACACCATTTCCTGATGACATCAGAACGAGTAGCAAAGTAGCACCGAAATATGTAGTGAGTTCTCACCTGTTGCAGTAAACTTTTATAATGTAACTTTGTTTCTAATGCGCCTCGATGTGAAACGCGCAATTCCACATCTGCTGTTGAGTGTTTCTTCAGTTCGTCGCATTTATCAAAGACAAAATTCAAGAGGGGCGATCAGGGCATAGATGGAATCGCCTTTCGGGTGGGGAAGTTCTWTATGCAAAACTAGATAATTCACTCTTATAATAACTCATCTTGTATTGAWTGTATTTTTGTTGTTGTGGATTTATAGAGTACCAAATACAAGCCATCAAAAACCTGACATCTAGTATGTTGGCAGTGTCTTATGTAGTTGTACATTGCTACGAAAAAAGTGTAGATGTTGATGATTCGCTCTACCGCCGTACTTCTGACGATTATTGCTCGGGACTGTCACCAAAAAATCGAAGCTCATCCCGATCATGGCGGGACTCGTTGTTCTTGGCTCGGGACTCGATGCCGTATTATTTTAAAAAACTCATCGTAGAATTTTCCTTTTATTCGTGGTACAATCGTATCTCGGATTGTAGGCTCTTCGCTCTTGGCTCGGGACTCTGTACTATCCCGATCAAATCTCATCGTGTACTTACTCTCCTTCTCGAGTATCTGTTCTATTCTGATCCGATACTCATTTCTCAAAATCGATACATTTGTCATGATTTGATTCAAAAATAAAATGGATGCAGAAACTAAAATTGAATATTTRCTAATACGGTCGGGGAATGCTTAACAGCTATTAGCCATTGGCTTTAATTTATGGTAATTTATCAGCTAAAGCTCCGGAATAGAATAAAACTCCGAAATTTGCCTCTCTATGCAGCTGCTTGAAGTGAGGCCACGTGACTTGTAAGTGGAAATTTATCGATAATTGCGAAGCTATTACGTCATGTAATGTTAAGTGGCTATCCGGCTACAATCAYCGACTACCGAGTGACATCCTCGAAGTAAAACAACTATTCTACGCTTCATTTCCTCGTTTTATACTCTAACGATCAGCGGCTACTTGATTCGGTAATTCATATGAAGCCACATGCATTAAAATGTCGTGTAGTGTTGAGTTAAAGTCGCCTTTCTGAAAGGACCCCTTTATCCTTGGTTTCAATTATCAAATTCACTTTTTTCTATGAAACGTAGGTGTGTTAACTGAAACCTATATCACTTAGCATCGGGGTGCTTACTCTGAGAACACATTAGTACTAGCTATAAAATCTTCATTCTTTTCCAGTAACAAGTGAATGGATGAAAATGAGTGACGCATGTCACATAACTCACCCAGAAAACAAACACACACACACATACATGCCGAATAAATGCAGGGTAACTTAGCTCATGTAGCAAGCCAAAAAACCGAAGGAAGCAAGAGAAAAGGAAGAAGAAAGTCAAGTAAACGATACAAAGTATTGACAACAAACGATGCGTACGGATGAAGAAATTACAGTATAACTGTATAATATC